TGCATTTGAATGTTAGGTGTGCATCAGGGAGCGTCATCAGTGGCGCACAAGATGCGGTGATAATGATGTAAGTGATTTTAATGTTTTGTTAGTCTTGCCCACGAGACGCACCGCTGCTGCGTTATTCATTCAAAATATTAGAGAAATAGACGCTCAATGCGGAGAAGATCTTGATTAGGTGAAAACCGAAACCAAGCCATTCACACAGAACGCATATTCAGCGCATTTTTTAGACGGACAAATACGACTGCTGCACTCGCGTCTCACACAAGAGATGTAGGCATGCAAAGTTAAAACAGTTTAAACTTTTAGAACACACGTCGCGAATTTGTGGAGGTTTATTCCTTTTCACTGCAAAAAAGGTTATAAAAAATGTCAATAATTATCGATCCCGAACGATATGAAACATTATATCGTTGATACATTTTTTTGCTATATCGCCCAGCCCTACTTTATCCTCATAAAAAAATGAACTTTGACTCACTGAGGCACTTTATTTGGAAATACATGGAAAGATACTAGGTAGGGGTGCAACAGTACACGTATTTATACCGAAAATTCTATACCGAAATCTGTACCGAACAAATACAGCATTGTTTTAACCACTGCACGAGTGGATCTTCATTGGAAACTTCCAATGAACTACTAGTTCTACTACTAGTTTTAACATGAAATAAACATGAATGAATGACATCAAAACAAAATGTCACATAGCATTTAATTTACCTCAGGCAAGTCAAAGTCCACAGCTCTTTGGATTGCTAGAGAAATTAAGTCTAGAGAAGAGCATTTTGCGAAATATTAGATTTTGTACTCATTATATTTTACTTTACCTGTTAGTGATGTCTTAATTATTTAATGTATGTTTAAATCTATTTGTTATGAAACAAGTTATGACAGCCACTGTGTAAATGAATATATTTCAACAACAAATAGAAATGTTATAATTTAGAAGTTAATTTAAAAACTGCATTTGCAATTTACATATTTGCATACAATTTTTTAAGTTAAGTGCTGATTATTATGTTTAAAAATAAATAGTAATTAAATTTACATTTGGGCTCTGTTGTTAATTGTAATCTTATAGTAATGGAAAAGGGCTGCATATAGTTTAGATCATAAGCTGAGGTAGATTTTCATCCCTATAGAAAATCTTAATTATAATTGAATTTATTCAAAGAAAGAGCAATTTGTTCAGTAAACCACTGTTTAATTAAAAAAAGCAATTTTGTTTCGTCTTTTTCCCGTTGCTTTACCGAAACCATACTGAACTGTGATGTCAAAACCGAGGTACGTACCGAACCATCATGTTTATGTACCGTTACACCCCTAATACTAAGTAAACACAAGTTAAAATATTTTATGAAGAATGTACCTGGAAGGCTGGTGGAGATGTTGACCTGCGTGTAGAACCTTTTGTTGGGGAGTAACTCTGAGACGCCGTTCCGGGCCTCCACGCTGAAGGAGTAGTTGGAGTTGGGCAGCAGGCTGACTATGGTGACTGTGCACTCCGTCAGGCCGCTCTGCTGTGGTACGAAGCCCACGCTGGCTCCGCAGGGTTCACACTGCACCTGCGGGGCCCGCGGGGGGCCGACGCATCGCCGGCAGCCTATGCTGTAGGTGAGATACCCTCGGCCGCCTGAGTCATTCGGAGCGGCCCACTCCAGAATGAGCGTGGACTGTTTGAGGGTGTAGACCAGATCTCGAGGCGGAGAGGGGGGGCCTGTGTGTAAAAATAAATAAATAAATGAAGTTTGTAATGCTTGATTAAAACAAAAAGTACCAAAGTGTTCAGTACCACCACCACCAAAAAAAAAAAAATCTTAAGCATTAAATAAATGTCATCTGAACATACTCTAATTAACATGATGATAATTACCCCTCAATGAACTGTAATTCTTTTTAATAATTTAACCCAATTAGCTACAACTGGGTAAAGCTGAACGGAGCTTGAGGCTTAAAATCACTTGAGAGGAAATGAGCTCAGGCCATGGAAGACAGTCAAAGAGAGATCATTGAGTATTGAGGGCATTGGCAAAGACAAACACAGTTCTCATGCACTAGCAAAAACTCCATTCATACAAATACAGGGAGAGGAAAAGCTGTTTCATGTAAATGTGCCGCCATGTAATTTGACTGAATCTGTGGCAGCAGAATTAAAATGAAAAAGCAAAGTGTTTTTTAATGTTTTGAATGTTTTTGTTGCAGTTAAAGGTATAGTTCACCCAAAAATGTCGTTCCAAAACTGTAAGACCTTTCATCTTCAGAACACAAATTACACGACACAGAATAGAAGAAATTGTTGAATAAAGTCATTATTTTTGTTTTCTTTGCGCACAAAAAGTATTCTCGTAGCTTCATAAAATTACAGTTGAACCACTGATGTCACTATTTTAATGATGTCTTTACTACCTTTCTGGGCCTTTAATGTGGTAGTTGCGTTGCTGTCTATGGAGGGTCAGAAATCTCTCAGATTTCATCAAAAATATCTTAATTTGTGTTCTGAAGATGAACAAAGGTCTTATGGGTTTGGAACGACATGAGGGTGAGTAATGAAGGACAGAATTTGCAATTTTGGGGTGAACTATCCCTTTAATACTACTACTACTACTACTACTACTACTACTACTAATAATAATAATGCATGTATTTTTCTATTATTACTGTTATTATTAACCCGCTTGACTAAAAGCATAAAACAAGGTAAAATACAAAATTAACATATGTATTTGAAATTAATTATATCTTAAAACTGGCAAAACTTTGTAAAAAAGTTAATTTACTTTTAAATGTGATTAAAATAAATTAAAACAATTGCTTAATAATTCACACAAATATTTTGGCCACTATCATAATGTAGGACTGTCTGCTTCTCTTGAATTTAAATACAAAGAATTTATCCATCTCGACTCAATGCAGATGAGATTTAGATTTAAAAAGCACATACAATTTACACAGTAACACTGAGAAAAAAAATAAACCTTAGAAATTCAACTTGAACACAGCAGTACCAATAACTGTGTTTTTCAGATTTTAAAATGGGTTTTGTGATGCCTATAAAACGCATTTGATTTCATGGTAAGATCATGGACCTTAAAGCGGCTGTAGAACTGAATGGCTTGCTGCAAAGGCATTCACAACTACTTCCCCGAGAACCTGCAGCTGATTTATGGTGAATCATGTGGGCAAAATGAATGCGAGCCTCTTATCTAATAGAGAGAGAGAGTGATAAAAGAGGGGCAGGGAGGAGGAGAGAGATCAGATGTGTTAATTGCTGCTGTGCTGTAGAGCGGGACTGTTCTGTTGACTCGGGGAGGAGCAGGTCGAGGCTGGATCCTTGCGTCTCTAATGCCGTTTGTCAGACAAGAATCTGTCAGCAGCAGGAAGCCATTTAAATGTCACCAGGGCTTTAAGCTGCCCATCATCAGCTCAGGCCAAGAGCACTACAGGTGCCTCCCGCTGCCCTCAAACACACACACACACACACACTGCGCTGATGGACTCAATATGCTGCAAGGAGTTTGTTTTTCATTTTTTGACAAGATGGTCTTTCTGCAAACTGGTCATCTCAAAAATAAATAAATAAAATGTGTATTGAAACATCACTTGAAACCATCTTTATTTACATTCATCCTCAAATAGTCAAATAGTCAAATAGTAATCCACAATAAATTTCAACAAACAAAACAAAACAACTTTATCTGACCCATTATCTATGAATACTTCTAAAATGGCTAATAAATATTTAAAAACAAAACTAGCGAAATAAGACGCATAATATAATATAACACAATATAACATAATATGATATAATATAGTTAAGACTAATATAAAATGTAATAATAATAACAATTATTATGTCTTAACTATATTTAATCTCAATATATTTATACTTCAATTTAAAAACAAATACTTATGTGGATAATTTCAATGAATACTACTCACAACATAACTTACTAAAATGAATAATACATATTAAAACAAGATCTAATAAACAAATCTAATAGGCTAATAAACTAATTAAATAAAAACACAAAATTAAATAATAATAATAATAATAATAATAATAAATACAATTATTGTATTATATTAAATCATTCTTAAAATATTCTTAAATATTACATTACATTATATTATATTACAAGTCTGCTTGTGATATCTTTCTTTTAACTAAATGTCACTTCCAATAAATGCCACCAAAGGAATTTGAATTAATCTGAATTAACTGTGGGAACCAAGTATAGGTATGAAACATTATAATAAAAAATGGTTCATAACTACTCGGCATTCCCGAGGACCTGATTGTTCTCTCATGCATGCATTTGTTAAGTTTTAATTTTGAGATCTAGGCTTTTGAAAAAGAGTCTCTTGTCTCATAAATGCAACAGATGATAATGAAATTGTAACGCAAACGCTCAAGCATGAGTGAGTGTGTGTGTATGGAATAATTTAGATGTGTGCAAGAAGCGTTAATTTTTAAAGGCTCTGAAGGCTTATGCAGCGGGGTCCACGTGTGGCCATGAGCGGTGGGGAACAGCTGCAGTTAGGATACATCCGCCACAAGACAGGACACA